TCGACTCTATTTCACCAGTCATTACTACGCGCTCGCTTCCACACTGATCGGGTCGCTGTAGTAGAGCGTACAGCAGCTCCAATTGTGGACAAAATAAATTTGGTTCGCTGTCTACGACATGCATTAATAAAACTCTGTATTCTGTTACGCCCGTTGTATACTGTTTCTGTGCATCCAAATAAGTTGGGTCCGTCTTCTCTCGCGTTCCTGTGCACGTCGCTTCAAAATTAGAACGAAACATGCCAGCAGCAGAAATAGAATCTCGCGCATATCATCCATTTTTCGGTCATAAATAGCGGCTTACCAAAGGTCACCGACTAATGGCACCCCTTAGCCCGTGCTAACGACTGGCCCTCCCTGTGCGTGGACGCAATTGGGTCTAGCCAAAATGCAAATATGCTAGATAAGCCTAAATCAGCTTAAATCTTAGCCCGTACTTCGTGTAACATGAACACAACTATTATCATTTTACAACATTGTTGTACCACTTTATTGTTTTACAACATTGTTGTACCACTTTATTGTTTTACAACATTGTTGTACCACATGGTCTTGCCTCATTTCTGATTTCTATCAATTCTTCGTTTCTATTGTCTACTTCTTTGAAATCCTCATGTTAGATGGCGGTGGTCACATGTGCATAATTAATGAAATATGATACTTTGCAATTTAGTTGAATTTTGACAACTTTTAATGCAAATTCGATTTACTCATATTTTGATCAGGGAAAGTACACACCAGGTTGACTATGTTTAATAAATATTTCTGTCATGAACATTTTATTTTAGTTTCACTTGTAATATTGTTTACTAATATGCTCAACTCCAAACCTGACATTTGTAACCATATTTCTCATTGCATCTTACACCTTAAGTACTGTGAAATTCAGAACATGACTACCGGTACTGTAAAATCTGTATTTGAAGCCACGTCTTCTATTAAAATGGTACAATGCAACAGAAGGGATGCGGCTTCTATTAGAGCGTCTACACATATGAGAAATGGTGATTTTTCGGTTCTCAATTATTCAAAAAGAATGGGTGTGGCTTATATTAGAGATGCGGCTTCTAATACAGATTTTATGGTAGTATTCATATGTTCAGTATATACACAAACAACCTTTGATAATAATAGATTTTCTATGCGTGATGTGTTAGCTATTTGTGAATTTTTTTATAATTTACTAGCTGTATTTTCTTTTTAGGACTGAAGAGAAGAATACATTTTATGTAACTGTGATTTTATTCCCAGTGAATAATAGTATGTGCTGGTAAAAGACTGTCCTAATTCTCTAGTTTTCTGTTATTTTCTCTATTAGGCAAGTTGGACTATAATAAATTGTGCAAGTGATATCGGTGAGAGCCATGTGTATTTATGTACAACTAAAAACCAAGATAATCAGCAACTGACACTGATGAGAAGATCTATTGATAAGAATGATTTCTTAAGTGTTCTCAGGTAACTGACTTTATCTGTACTATTGTGAAGGCACTCTGAGTTCACACACCAACACACATACACAGAAGATTAAGTGCAAACAGTGGGTGGGCATCGGACTAGTGTGTAGATTTCAATCAAATATAACAGTGAGGCTAAAATAATAAAATAAACAATACATAAGTGTGTCAAAAACATATAAGTTGAGATGATTGTTGTAAAATGTAGACTATAATAGAAGGAAAAAATTATGTATTGATTGAGTGAAAGATTTAGATGAAATTTGAGTGCGGAAATTAACATACAATAATGAAATGTGCTGATCAAAATGGTGGGAACTGATGAGAAAAGATAAATAAAAACAAAAGAATTGGTAGAGGGCGCCAAAGTGAAATGTTGATTCCCGGTAAATCACATTCAATGTTTCAGTAGTTTTCTTGGTCGCAGTCACAAGTAAAAAAAGTTGTTCTGTGAATGTTTAGATAGTCAAACCTAAAGGCTGTACAGAAATACAAACATTGTGTGTGTATTGCAGGCCAATTCTAATGGAAATCACTTCACATTGAATTTTTATTTTCTAATAATTCATCTTATGATACGATGCTGACCACTAAATCGTGAAATTAAACAAATCTACCGAAATTCTCAGTAATTTGTAGTTGTTTGGAAAATATCATTTAGTATAGCACAAGTTACTGTAAAAATCTGTATTAGGAGCCACGGCTTCTATTAAAATGATACAATGCAACAGAGGGGATGTGGCTTTAATTAGAACGTCTACATATATGAGAAATTTAAAAAACAAATTGTTCAAAAAAAATCGGTGTGGTTTCTATTAGATATACTACTCCTAATACAGATTTTATGGTACTTTAATAAGCTTCCAATAAACTATATGAGATAATATATCTTTAATTAGCACATGTAATAATTAATAATTATGCTAATATTCCTGCAGCAGGCTGCTACATCAATTACACATGTTCAGATATAATAATTAATATCATATTATGTTTTTATAGATTAGTCTATGGCAGACAACAAGTGGACAATAATGAAAGTGGTGAACCATCAAATCAGTTAAAGGTAGGAGTTTTATGTCACAGACATCATCAATGTCTTAGCTAGATGTGTTGATCTTAACATGTACTCAAAGCTGAGTTGAGATTTGTGTGGATTACAAATGAATTTCCTATTTCAACAAGATCGATATTTTCTTTGTAGCGGTACTCATACTTTATTCTCAATTTTTGACAGTAATACAAATGAAAAATTTCATGAATGTTTTTGAAAATCAAACATATTTTTTTTTTTAAATATCTGTGTTTTCTTTGGAATTGCACTGAGTTTAATTTTTTTTTATTCCAGGATTATGTGCATAAGTTAGTTGTATATGATCTAAGAGCTGCCTGGACGACAAATAACAGAGATGTAGTGTTTGGCTTATATGACCAGTATAATAAAGTACAGGTAATGATATTCCCATATACAGAATTAATACCATAATTGCTTCATTAGTAGTACACCTGCGATATAAGCACATATAAACTTACAGTTGTATGTACTGTAGTGTATTTACTCTATTAAAAGCAGATCTCCAATAAAAGCACATGTAAACAAAAAATCTCATTGGCTGTATTATTAAAACATTACTTATTTTTATCATAGAAAAATCTTTTTAATTTTAATTTTAATGTAAGGGCATGCATTACTTTTACAATAGAGAAAATACTGGATACTGGATCAATGAAATATGACTTGTTTTGACCATAGATATAATGTTCAGAAATCTTGTTCATTACGATTATAATTGTTTTCTAGAGTGCTCATCAAATACTATGCATTGTTTTTCTTATCGTGTCTTTTCAGCATGGCTGTTTTACCATGTGAATTTTGTTGATACTATCAAATTCTAATTTCTTAGTACCATTATTTTCATTTCAGATGTTAAAACACAACTTATCTACTGCAGCTGTGAAAGTGAAGATGGAGAGTAACGCTAATACACCCATCTCCCAAGTATGTACTCTCGCTAGTTTGACATAGTACTGGTATATCCAAATATTTAATTCAATCAGTTTCAAATTTTGGCCACCATTTCGGCTTCAAAGTTTATTTGTTATTATTAGTTTATTATTTTATTTCCTAAACATTTTGTATTGTGTTTAGATGTGCACAAGTTGATACAAAATTTACTCTATCAAAACCTTAAATATTCCTGCATTTTCTGCATATTTGTAATAAATAATTTGCATACTACAGTAGTTGCATGTCCCCAATGAAGCTATGGGAACAATCTCAAATTGCAACATTAAATAGTGTAGCGGGTCATTACAATCCATATTTGATATGGGTCCCATGATACATCTACATACATGTGAATGCGTTGCATTTAACGATAATTGTTTATTATGTTATTGTTGCAGAAAACTAATCGTAGTAGTTCTGTTACACCAAGCCCCGTTACACGGTTACAGTCCGGACACGGAGATACAATGTTACAACAATTACTTTCTGAAGCTGCGACTAAATTTGTCGCGTTCTCCGATTCAGAAGAGGTAATATTTCCTAATTACTCATAAACGTAGTTTGATAACCATGATTAATATTCCTATCACTCTAACACTACACTAAGTATGCATACATTTCCTACAGAAATTTATTTATTTATTTATTTATTTATTTATTTATTTATTTATTTATTCATTT